GAATTGAGACGGAGGAAATTTTCTTTAGCGGTGATGGATTTAAACGTTACCACGACTTCGCCAGTTAACCTGCGTTGGAGGCACTGAATATCGGTAAGAGAAACTTTACAATTTGCGAAGGCGTCAAATACGGAGCGAGCAGTTTTTTGTCTCTCAGGCGTAAAAAAGGCTGTCTTCGGACGTTGTGGCATAGAATTCTCATTAAATATATGTTTTTGTCGTTGGATTTGGTTTTCATTTCTATATTCTTGTCCAGATGTTCTTGCTGCACGCAGTGCATAAGATTCATCGTTTACCATGTAAGAATTTTCATCGGGCGAGTTGTCTTGAGTGGCTGACAAAACATCTTCTAAGATTCCTTCGGTATTCATTGTGTGCGCTGACATCATCGGAAATCTTCTTAATAAGAAAATATAAAGGCCCAAAAGGGCGTACTGACCTCAAAATCTTTGCTTGTATGAGCTTTCAAAATGGCCAAGCCTAACGGTACACGTGTATCTTCTGGGCCTCCTCAGTACAATGCTGATGCCAGGATGGGGGAGAACCGATATGGTTACCCCGAACGATCACACATTTGTGGTATCGTCTAAGCCATGCCAGAGTGCTCAAACTAGGAAAGCCTAGTGAGCTATGCGCAATGCTATCGGCAATGACTCACCCCACAGTGCTCAATTTGGACATGAAAGCAGAGCTTTGTATATATATATACATGCGCATATGATATCGAAAACAAAACCTCATGCGTATATGATTAACTTAATTCGAAACATATCTCAAAATGTCGAATATCGCATCCAAAAAAATCAACTAAAATAATTAAGGTTAATATCTTGAGCTCTAATTGTATGCATATTAGGAGAAACAACTGACCTAAAGCGTTTTATACCTGGCTAATTCAACGGAAAAATGACTGTCCCTTGTCAGGGTCAAATCAGTTTTACGTCTTTAATGCAAGGGTCCAACGTTTTCTGCAGTCTTTATATATTAACGTAACTTAGAACGTTTAGCGTTATATTACTGACAATTCTTAACGTTATCTTGTACTCCCAAAAAGTTACTTGTAACAGCCATCTCTGCAAAAAGAGTGGAACTTGCACAGACAGAGTCAACGGATATAACTGTAGCTGTGTACCAGGATTTCACGGAACACAGTGTGAAAAGATTGAAGGCTTGTCTTGTTCAACAGGTTTGTAGAAACTGTAACAGATATACAACCCTATGTACGAATCCCTAAAGTTTGGCAACAGGCTTTGATGGCTTTTGAAAAAGATAGCTAACGCTAACCCTAAGCAAAAACAACTCTTTTTATTTAAAAAAATATATGCATCTGCTAAACATTTGTAATGAACGTGAAATTTCAACCTTAAAAGAGTTGATATCCTCTTGAAAATGTATACTACACACTAAGGAGCAATAATTGTCCCTTGTCAGTCCTAGATGGATTACTTTCGTATTTTACTTAGCTACATGCTTAAAAGGTTTTCATATTTTTCTTTCTATATCAAAAACCTATGCCTATGTTGACAAGTTAAGGGTTTTTGTATATCTTGCATTTCGTCCCATTTAGCGCGGTCAGTGTACTCTTATCGACAAAGATATTCGACATTACAGTGGTCAAAGTTAAATTTGCTGTGGACGCACGAGGCGCATCGCACACTACATTTTGACCTCTGTGATGACGAATATCGTTGTCGATAAGAGTACAGACAACGCTAAATTGTCAAGATGTCTTGATATTTGCTTGTGAATTGCTTGAAATCTAGTTTCTTGCATTGTCACTTATGTCAATGGCTGAAAGATAATATAGGGTACTCAATCCTAGACCTTAGTCGTAGAATATTCCCTGGAAAACGTATGAAACAGGATTTCTGGTCACCCCAAGATTTCATTTTTCCCCACAGCTTACCGGATAATTTTTGAACACCTTTCCACCAAAAGTTATGCCATGAAGGAAAACTTCATTTCTTCAAATATCTCAGAATTTACAGTGAGCTTTTTTGTTAAAAGGAAAGATATAAACACAGAGAGTAACCAGTGCCTCTTCAGCTACGCAAAAGCTTCTGGTAATTATGGAAATGATATATCTGTTTGGTTGAATAAACCAAGATCGAGCCCGAGAATTGAGATCACTGTGGATGCGAGGTAAGCGATGTGTGAAACAAAATAAGAAGGTGTTGAAAAAATACCGGCGCTCCGCCGAACATTATTAGAGGCTTTTGGGGGGGGGGGGCCATTGACATTGCATTGAAGCAACTTATGTGGATTTATAAAAGGAAGGGAAAATACTAACTTGTTACTTACCGAGCGAGAGGGCCGTCCAGGAGAATGTCGACCTTAGGTCAAGGCAGTGCGGACCGAGTGCAGCGAGGGCCAATATTCCTTAGTGCGGCTCGAGCAAGTGAGGTCAGTAAGCTGTTTATCTTGCCGCCTTTCATGAACAAAAACGTATGGCATATGACCTTTTCCGTGGGAACAGCCTCAAGTCTTTAGAAGATATCAGAATTTTTAACGTACATTTGTCTATGGTCATTTTCCAAGAGGTAGAAACACCAGAGCTAAGATAAATGATACAATGTGGCATCACATCTGTGTTACCTGGAAGAGCACAAAAGGCGCCTGGCAGCTTTATCTGGATGGACGACTCCAAAGCAATGGAACAGGCTTGAAGGAAAATCACCAGATTCCAGCTGGCGGAACAATTGTTATTGGACAAGATCAAGATAGAGTTGGAGGGGGCTTCCAAAGCAAAAATAGTTTTGGACCGGGTGAGGTGACAGAAGTTAATCTTTGGAGCAGGGTGTTGTCAGCGAGTGATATTGCAGAACAGTATGCAAACTGCTACATTACCAAAGTCGGCCTGATGCACTCGTGGGAACAATTAAAAGGCGGCGTTTCAAATGTGATAGTAGTCGAGCCTTGAACAGAACATTGATCAGAACTGTAATCATTGACTATTAACTTTTTTTGCACGAATCAAAGTCTTTGTGTCATGTGAGAATTTATGTTCTTTCTGAGACAGCGACATCAACACTTGTACACTCTCTTATTGTTATCAAGATAACTTTTTATTTAATCATAATGCAAACACTTAAATCTATAAGGTACTGTGGTAAACTCATCACAAGTAAATTCGGAGTAAACTAGCGTTTTAATCACGTTCTTTGTTATCCTTGACCTCGTTAAGAAGACTATTGTAGCAGATCTCGATGTCATGCCAGCTAAGTGATGCCTTAGGAACCTATTATTTCCAAAGTTGACGTCCTACTCAGCGTACTTCTGGGAATGTCGAGAATCGATGAACCGCTCGCAAATAGATGAAACTGCTTTGCATTTTGCCACAACACTCCTATGGATGGAGGTTCTAAGGACAAATGTTTAAAGGTTACATGGACACCAACTAGTATTAAGCGGCACCGTATTAAGCGGCAACCTTGTCATGCTATTAAGTTTTCGAAGTCCAGAAATTTTTTCCCCTGATTACTGTAATTTAAAGAGGTTTAAGTCACACTTACTCACTGAGTGCCAGCGGTCCCAACAGCGTGTTTGTATTGTCCTCCATCTGTAATGAATGGTCACTTACAGCGGACCCATTCAAAATAAAACTAAGAATAGTCCTATGGTGTCGTGTAAGTCCGTTAACCCGCTCCCCTTTTGTCGGGTTTAATAATAATAATAATAAAGGTCTTTATTAAGAATTATTGTGCAAACAGGCGTGCAACAATTAACATGAATAGAATGAATAAGGAAAAAGAAAAGGTATTAATTACTATTGAAAAGACATCTATTAATAAAAACTGATTTAAAACGGCTTGTCTGAACCTTAGGCAAAATATAATTATGCGACCTAGTTCTCAACTGCCGTGTTCTCTGGGGAGGTAAGAGATCGCTCAACGCAGTGTTGGTGGAAGAGATCCTTTGCCATAATTTCTTATCTCTATTACAACGGATATCCAAGATACTGTGTTGCTTTAAGCAGTAACCCAGCTTATAACACCTGGCAAAGAGCTTATCAATTCTACTTAAATATTTACTATAAAAAGCACACCCCCAGACCTCAATAGCATATGTAAAAACTGAAAGAATCAAACTTTGAAAAAGTAAGTCCAAATTCTCAATAGGGTAGCCATAATATTTACATATTCTCAAAATATACAACCTACTGCTAGCCTTACTAAGTAG